AACAGGATCAACGACCTCAACCATGTCTTCAGGTGGAACGCCTTCGAAAGGATCCTTGGGCGTATCTTTGGGCTTACCGGATGAGGATGATGAAGAACCTCCTTTGGCTTCTTCATCTTCACCAGGATCATAAATACCACTCTCGAATGCACCTTTCTTTGGGAGATCAACCATTTCATCAGTTGAAGGGACTTTTGACGACTTACTACTTTCCATCGGACTTTTGTCAATCAACTCCTCAACGGGTTTTGCATCTTCATCTTCCGGTTTGGGAGGATCGTCCGATATCATGTAGCATGGAATGCGACCCTCACGGATAGCATTATACCTGTCTTTGAGTGGAAACACAAAATCTCCGTCAGGCAAAGCGAGTTTGTTTGTTCCAACCCATGGCACACTGCTATCGAAGTTGTTGTCCAACACCTCCTTAAGAGGGAGAACAAGAAACTCCTTTCTCCATGAGAATTCAGGGTGGATCTTGTATCCCAAGAACACTCCTGGAAGTGAGGTAGGATCGAACTTCAATTTTTCTTTGGTTTTGGTTTTTGGTCCGGTCCAATAGTCAACTCTCACTCCAAAAGGGATCATGGGTCCCTTGAACTTCTCATCGAACCTGAGTTGCCATGGTGTTCGAGCCTCCTGATCACCGAGTATGTTGTGCGCCATGCAACAATGTCTGGCGGCATGCGTCCAGTATGTATGGCGCAAACCCGCTTGTTCAAGATTGATACGAGTTCCATCAAGAACGGACCGAATACTTCTCTCCGCTTGAGCATTGCTCTTGGAGATGTAGGGAACACTGGTGACGTGTCTCCATTTCAATTCTGATGCTGCTTTCACAAGTTCTTCTGCATTGTCTGAATAAAACACACCAATGTCATCCCGTCCCCGGGTGAAGTGCTTCAATGCAAGAACACAATCTCTAGTCGTTTTCCTAGCCGACGGATATACGTATCTAAAATCCGTAGCTATGTCCTTAATAACTAGAGCGTTTCTCGAACCATCGATAGCCTCTTCTTCATCATCCCGAAGAATAAGATGATCAGCAGTGATATGATCACCAAACTTGTCAGCATCAACGGTTTCGGATCCTCCCTTCTTGTACGATGGTGGCTTAGTCATCTTAGCCCTTGAACATGTCGTGCAAAAAGGGTTCTTAGGAACATGCGTCAACAAGTGTGCAAGCGACTTTGCTTCCTGCCTCAAGGCTTGTTCGCCACGATCACGCTTTTCCGCTGGTGGATCGGGGACTAACCTGGCATCGACTGCTTCGGGTTCTGCTTCCGCAGACTCATGGGGCGCTTCCTCTACACTAGGTGATGTGGGAATCGGAATGTACGAAGACTTGCCGTTCCCGGAAGCATGTTTTTCATACTTGTGTCCAATAGCAGTCATTGCCATACCACTGGTTGATGGTAAATAAGGAACATAGTCTTTCACTTGAAGTTTGATCCTCTGCCCATTTGGCTTTTTGAAATATGGTGTATCATTTGACGGCCAAATGAACGACCAGTCATGATCAACACACAGTTGTCCCACGGATATCACTGCCGGACTATCATCAAGTACATAAGGCTTTGCAGTGATCCCCAACAATGGGATGTTGAGATTGGCCTGATCATTAGCCTGAAATACTCCATTGGCAGTCAAAAGACTGACCGGTTTTGAGGATTCAAATACTTCATTTTGATTGACCATTTCCCTAGACACCAAGTCATTTGCACTGCCAGTATCTGCAATCCATGCGATCTCGGTTGCAGGCACGGTAACCTGTTGGTTCTTGAAACAGTGCTTGCATCCCATTTCCGAATCGCAAAGATATCGACAACGTGCCTCGACGTCGTTCAACTCGTTTGAAACAGCTCGGCTCAAACGGTCTGCTGCAATGCATGCATCTTCAGATGCCATTTCCAAAACTTCAGCGTTTCCTTTATGGCCTATGGGAAATCTGACATGCTTGCTTTGTGTTCGCGCAGCAACTGGAAACAACAAAGAATTACCATGAACCACGTGATTAAAAACTTCTGGTTTGTCAGCAAAAGAAAGGCATTTTACTTTCCCCCGTCCTGAAGATGATGGGGAAGAACTGGTGGCAGGTGTAGCAACCATGGCCATGTTTTCCAACGGGCAACTGATAGTAGCAGACTGCGATGAAGAGACCGCGGTAGCTAAGACCAGAGTGCTCAGTAGACAAACAGCGGTTGGGTTAGAAGGAGCACCTTTCCCACCTTTGGATTTCTGACTACCGCCAGAACCGTTGGAGCCACGAGAAGTACTTCGTTTCTTCTTCTCTCTTTTCTCCTTCTTCTTCTTCTGGCGTTTCTTTCTGTCGTCACTCGGGGCAGGAGTGGAAGAACGATCGGGATGTTTGAAAGCACAATTCTTTCCCCGGTGACAGTCACCGGATTTCCAAAACTTGCAAACTTCCGACCTTGAACCCGGAGTCAACGACCTCCCACGTGAAGAAGATCTACCCTTTCCACCACCTTTGGGCCTCCCTTTGCTGGATTCACGGGGTTTCTCATGCTTGAATGGGCAGTCGCGCCTACTGCACTTTCCTTTGTTCTGAAACTCGTAACAAACGCCTTTCGGCTTCTTGTCATTTGGGTCAATGACAGGAGCTGCAGGGTCTTTACCTCCAAGACTACGCCTCGTGGCATCCCTCATCTTTTCCAAACGCTTTCTTTCGAGGTACGCCTTGGCTGACTTAATCAAAAAGTCATACAGTAAGTCTTTTCGGCGCTCCCTTCCGAGGCGCGTTCATAGATGGCAAGGTCATGAGCTAAAGGCTTTAAATTCTTCACAGCAAGATGAAAATATGCCTCAAGCCACTTCTTGTCAACTTCCGTTCGCATCCCCGCAATGACAGACTCCCATCGTGTGACAAAACCTTTGAGGTCCTCGTTCACCATCTTAACACAGATAAGATCTTCAACATCGTAAATAGCACCGTGCTTGATGGATGTAGCGAAGTACTCATGAAACAACAGTAGAATTTGTCGTCCCTTGATTGGTTCCTTCGCCTTCTCTTTGGTTTCCTTAAACGTGTTCAATTGGCGAGCAAGGTCCCCCTCCGCACAGTTCGTGAGACTTGAGAGGAGCTTGGCATCCAGCGTGATGAATCCCTCAGAGTCATCCAAGTCCTTAGTAGTCACGGCATCTTCATAAACCTTACCTAGCCACAACCTGGCCTTGTCCGGCTTAGCGGACGCCGCTGACACGTTGTCCTGAACTTTAATTCACCAATCCCTATACCTTTCAGGTGTAGGAAACTTAGGAATAAGGATCTTCTCGGCTTCTTTAGCCCTCTGTTCACGATCCTCTTTCTTCATTTTCTTCAAATGTTTCCTGACCTTCCGGGCAAAGGACGAATCCTCAGAAGATGAGCTTGATGATGAAGGTGACTCAGATGGTGAAGGTGACCCCTTTTTATTCGTCTTTTTGTTCTTTTTGCGGGGTGATCTGCCACGCTTCTCTTCCTTGTCATCTTTCTTCTTTTTCTTCTTGTCTTTCTTGCTCTTCTTCTTGTCATCGGATGAAGACGAACTTGATGAACTGGGATGATCAGGCGGACCACCTCCAGCTGCCTTGGGGACGTTTACCGCTCCGCTCGGAAGAGCCTCACGGTAGGGTTCACCCGAGCTATCAGTCATTGATCTTTGCATCGGATGATACAGTTGACCAAGAGGCAGCTCGTTTGAACCCATTGGACCGGGAAGAGTTGTCCTGAGGTTCGCTGGCATTCCAGCAGGCTCAAAGTTCCCTCGAGCGGATGTTTCCATCTTCTCTCGAAGTTCTCGAATGAACTCTGTTTGGGTTCTCAACTCTTCTCTCAACTGCGATTCACGACTCTGTGCCTGTTGTTGTAATTCTGTCAAGTTGTGATTATATAGTTGAGCTTCAGTCAACGCAGCATTCTTGATAACTGCTTCTTGTGCACTCATCTTAGCCTGTTCGTTTGCAGCCCAAGATGCAGCCCTTCGTTCTTGTAACTCGAGTTGCTCCTTGACATGGTCTTGTGCCTCGCGGTGAATAGCTTCCACAGCCTTTTTCACCTCTTCACTTTCTTGGACATCAGTTCCCTGTGTCGCACTTCTGCAATTTGAGCGACCTCAGCGGACTTGTCCAGGTTGACGTTGATCATTCTCTGATCGTGGAAGTTTGCCGTCTGATGAATGACTTGTCTTGAATCGTTGTATGTACTTGACGGAACAAAGGCAGGACTGGTGGGAGATAAAGCGATAGTACCGGTCGGAACGACTGGTGGCAACGCGTTCCCACGTGCTTCAACCTGCGTCATCACCAGGCTCTGAAGTGAAGACTTCCGTCTGTACATATGACCCATCCTCATCGGAATCACCGACTCTCGACCTCGATCGATCCGTGCCATCTCGAATTGGTTCGATGGGCCTATCAGCCATGCCACCTCACGTGTGCGCAAAACGAGGGTGGGTAGGTGACACAGCTAAAATGGCGCGTACCGCTCTTTGGCGATACGGCTGATAACCTGAACTTACAGGCCAACAGCCTACAAGTACCAACATGTAGAGCGCCCTTTTCTTGAGCCAAACATAGAGGTCAATATGGTATGTACAGGTGTACAATCGTGCAAATTCAGAAAAAGTGCCTATTCATGGGGCCCTTATCAAAGGTGCCCTTACCTTCTTGTTTCCATCTCATTCTTTGTCACAGGGTCGCACCATGCGCACACCATCACGTCACAAGGTCGCACTGCAAGACGGTCGTGTCTCACGGTGAGCGCAAGCTGCACAGCAAGCTGCACAGCAAACGCAAAGCCAGTCGCAGTGGCCACGTGCTGCAAAGACCACGGCGGGATCGGAGCTCGTCGCCCCTTTAAAGGGTAAAAGGTCAAGACACCACCCCCTCGCAGGTGGAAAGTGGATCTGGGGAGTCCAACCAGTGACTTCCTAAGCCTGAACTCTTGGCGTTTCCCGTTGAAAACACTGTTTCCCAGCTGGTGTCTTTGCTCAACCCGTGGCCTCAAGACCTCAAAAGCGCCGTCTTCGCAAGCAGTGCGAATCGCGATGCCACATCGGCACTGAACCGGCCTGATGATGATCGTCCCCCTCTCTCCCAAAATCCGCAGAACAACAATCCAACAAGTGTAGTCTGAAACAGAACGATTTGCGCTTCAAAACAGGAGAGAAATGAAAGCCAAACATTGCGAAAAAAGACACACATTTTTGATCTAACAAAACATCTCTTAAAGCTGCCGAGATGCTTAAAAGGTGCCCGAAACCCAGTTCCAAAGCTTGGGCCAATGCAACACAAAGGAGCAGCTGGGAAAACATATGTGGATGAATATTCTAAAATGTTCAATCCAGCAGGTTACTGAGGCCATTTCTTGCCCAACATCTGCAGATGGGATGAGGATCTTGGATTTGGCCTCGCCAGTTGCGAATCGATGACTGGGTATCAAAGAGCCCAAAGTCGAAATAGGTCGATTCGACACTAGTCGATCAAAAACAATGCCTTCACTACATGACTACATGGGATTACTCGCTGAGGCTTCTGGGTCGAGTAAGTAAAGCGAATTGTGCTTTATCAAAATCAGCCGCAAAACCAGCACCTCGGAGCCTCCCAGGCATGAAAAGAAAAATGTGGTGCAGCTTTTAAGTCTTTGACTCCGAGGCTGCCTTTATTAAATAGCATTACACCATGCATATGGACGAGAAACAACAATGCTGTATACAGCTTGTCCAGCATCATTATCCTCCCCTCACCATTCTCTCGTCTGCAGCACCTGAAAAAAAGGTTTGCTGCTGTTGGCAGAGACTCTACGACTCTTCTGTTAATGAGGCTGGGACGAGGGATGGCCCTGCCCTTTCGGAAGGAACTCCTCAAGTCCAGGACTCCAACATGCTTTTTAGTTTGCAGATTCACGAACTGGACGTACAAATTGCAACAACAGTTCAATTCAACACTCCGTAACATGGACCAACTGCAGCCGAGCGGCGCTGGGCGAGGAGGAGTGCTGTCGGACTTTTCTGAGCGAAAACGGTGAGCGTGTCAAGATTCTCAACACGTCGCATGCACTAAAACTAAAAACCTGAAAGAACCAACCCACGAACCCGAATGAACATACGTACCCCAAACAATGTTCGACACTATTGCGTGGCACTCTCCAAAGATGGACAATTTAGGGTGATACTCCTTTGCAATCTCTTATAAGACGGTGGACACCCTTCTGGGACACTCTTGTGAAACTCCCTCTTGTCGAGCACTGTTGTACAACACACGCCAGGACACTCTTGTAGGACACTGTTGTGGGACACTCCTGTGGGGCATCTTGAAGGACACTCTTGTAGGGTCCTTTTGTGCGACAATCTTTTGGGACGCTCTCGTGGTACATTCTTGTAGGGCTCTCTTGTAGGACATCTTGTGGGACACTATTGTGGAGCAACTCTCCTGGGACACCTGCTCACCAAAGACGCGCCGCGTTTACACTCGCATGTTTCCCGTTCCCCAATGAGACGGAGCCACGCAAGCGACTCCACCCATCATGCCGGTGTGTCAGACTGGATGCAAACTGACATGACACAACCGATCCTCCCGCTCCCAAGCAAAACGCCACGTTCGCTTCCGGCACGGAGCCAAACCGCATGGCACAGGGACATCAGAGACGCAATTTCGCCGCGCCACATACTTCTGAACCCAGATCTCCCAGAACATAACCTGCCCCCCGCATTACACAGTCCCAAACCCCGAGCTCCCAGAAGCCGGTTCCAGCAACTACAACCGTAGTAGAAAGTTGCCAGTTCTGACCCCGGAGAGCTCAAACGAGCACTTCGTACGAGAAGCGCCGTCCAAGTGTCACGCGTCAAGTCTCTAAAACAAGCCTCTCATACGAGACATCCTCCACCACCCAAAGGGAAGCGGGAAGTCTCATCAGAGCGAACACATCAAGCAGCCCTTGCAAAGCAGCTTTGCAATCACAGCCCCTCAAAACCACAGCCGCTGAAACACCAACCCTGATGCCACGGCGACTTTCACCTCCACCAAACGCCACGGCCTCATGATTCCCTATGCCTACCACGAAAATTCAACTTCAACACCTCCAACGCGCACGAGGCACTGCGCCTGCCACAAAACACACGTTTGGAATTTCGGCGCTTTCATCCACCAAGGTAATGAGATGCGTCACAACATCGCACCTTCAAGGCAAGATCAAACGCAAATCTCAGCACAGCGACATCCAACACCTCCACAACGCACCCCTGCGAACGCCAATCCCGGCACAGCGACCAAACGCGCTGACACCTGCGCAGGAAATCATGCTGCACGCTTGAGAGTCACGTTTGCACACTATTTCACACAATTCGGACACTTCCCCTCCATCCAAAAACTCTTCCGAAAACTTCCCCCAACGGAAGAAATTGCGACCCGCCAAAGGGCAAACGCAACGAGACTGGGGACACAAAAACAGACAAGGCGAACACAGATCCAGCCCCAGACCCCAGACTATAAACGGGAAATCTTCGCTACACATTCGGGAATAACATATTCCAAGCAACGCGAAAATGTCTTGCCCATTGTCAATGATCCCGTCGGAGACAGATCCGAAGCCTGGACAGGCCCAAGCATGCTTGGATGAGAGGTACTTAGCCCTCAAGGTCCCCACAGCAAAGGATAGTTTGTCAGCTTTCACCGTCATGGCCCTTCGCTTTCCTGGACATCCCAAATCTGAGATTGAACATATGCTGGACGGGAAGGTCACCCCGCAGAACGGAAAGTTCGGATAGAGCGGCAGTATAGATGCAGTCACACAAAGCATCGCGGAAAGACCAACACTTAATCTATGCGAGGCACCAGGTGTCCTTGTTAACAAGCTCAAGGACGAGAGCTTAATGATGGAACAAGCGACTCCGAAAGCGTGCATAAACAGCAAAACAAATTCGTGAAAAAGAAAATGGTTCTACACTGAATTAATCTTGCAGCGTGAGAACATGCGTGACCACTCAAATTTTGAGAGTAGTACAGATCATTGTAAATATAGCATGAAGACATGACACTGTCCATGCAACCGCAGACCCTTTTTAGCCATAGAAAACAAGTGCGTTGACTCCTGCTGATGCAGGTTATGAGCCCAAGCGAGGTTCAGTAAGACCACCTTGTGTCAGGCGCGTGGCTTGAGCAAGTTGTTGGCTCCCATGGCGAATCCTCTTTGGTCGCAGGACGTGCAGGAAGCCTTTGAGGCTCAGGCGATGAGACCCGATGACCTGCCCGTGGTTCCTGGCGATGGAGAGTCGGAGAAGACTCTTCAGAAGAGCTGCAGTCTGTTGGAGAACATCCCATCGAGCATGATCGAGGAGACGGTGATGACCGTTCTCTTCGAGGTGATGGAATGTCAGAAGAGGAAGCGGCTCTGGAAGATGAGCGAGAACCTGAGCAAATGGTGCGTCGACCGGCAATCAGTGCCATTAGTGCTCAAATGGCTGAAAGACTTGCGCCGATCGTGAGAGGACCCGCAATCAGTGCAGAGACAGCTGAGAAGCTCGGCCTGACGGTGCAAGCTGCGGAGCGTTTGGCGGCTAGTGCACAAATGGCAGACCGACCTCAGTCTGGAAAAGGGTGAATAGGTGTAGCAAAGGGTGAGGTGAAAGTCACTCCGGGTTGGCCGACTGCAGCGACGTCGTCGATTGCAGTATCGATGCTGGGTGGACTTGACCGTGAGGGAGTTCCAATGCCGCCAAGAAGCTGGCTGGACAAGGACCGACGCCGTGACCTAGGGCATCAACCTCCTCGAAAAGAACATCGTTAGGGAGAAAAGCGAACCGAACGCGGACATCGTGATGGCGCCGAACCTACAGAGGGCCTTGAAAGCTCAGGTCGTGGAAGAACTTCGCCGTCAAAATGAAGAGCTGAGACAACAGGTGGCATTGTTGCAAAGTGCGACATCCATCAAGAATGAGGCGGTGAAGAAGGCAACCGATGCAACTCCTGTGAAATCTCCTGAGATATTCACACCCATGGAGGGGCCGGGTGAAACTGTGAGACACATTTGTGGGGGCGCTCGAGTACCACCTGGAACTCTACCTGAGGTTGACGAGAACATGGATGGGGGAGCGAGGACCTTGGCTGACCTACCACCAGTACCACCGTGGCCGCTGGAACCCACGGGTCAAACAAAGAGGGCGCATGATGAGAGCTTTTGGAAGATCTTTGAGTCTGGCCTCACGGTGTGGGAAGAGTACGATAGGAATCGGCCATACCAAGGTGAGCCTGTGGGAAGTGGCGTAAACAATGGCGCTGTTCAACAACACCATCTACGTGGACCTGAAGAATGTGAATGCGCCACACCAACAAGGCGGTGAGCTGCTTGGGAAAAAGGAGAACCGGGGTGGTTCGGAAACCCGTGAGAGTGGAGCCGCAAGTTGGGACACGGTAGATGACCTATTTGACAAGATCGTGGGTGGGAACAGCGGCAATTCAACAAGCAGCGAGAATGCAATGGTTGGAACGTGAACTCAATGAACTACGTGGTCGCGTCCAACAACAAGAACAGGGTGCATCGTTGGGCGCAGGGCCGATGAAAACAGGTCCACAATCAACCGAAGAACCCGTGAGCCACTGTCCAATGAAACAAAGTCGCCTCCATCAGTGTCGAAAGTTGGGAATGAAGAGGGTATGGATGATGGTGTGAAGGATGACCTTCGCAGTGTGAATGTGGCGCTGCCTCGGTTGCCTGAAGAAGGCGCACATCAAGCAGCATTGAAGTGTGGTGATTGGATTGCTGAGATTACACCGCTGGTTCATGATGTGAGCTCTTTTGCTGGCCAGTGGTGGAACCAGTTGATGGAGCATGTTAGACAGGTGTACAAGCAATGGTAGGCCTCAGGTCCTTTGACAAGGCTCACGGTCAAGGTCGAGATGAAGCCGAATGCCTCGAGGTTGGAGAGCCGGGTGTCGTCGACGCTCCTTCCGGCCCTTCCGTCCTCACTCAAAGCCAAGGTCATTGCGGCTCGAAAGCTCATGGCAGGTGCCATCATGTTGGAGGTTCTCAAAAGATACCAACCTGGAGGCCTGTCTGAGAAGAGTGCATTGTTGAAGGGATTGCAGTCGCCAGCTCCGGCAACCAATGCAGCTGATACCATCGAGAAACTCCGTGTGTGGAATCGAAGCATCATTCGAGCCGGAGAACTGGGCGTCACTCTTCCTGATCCAGTTCTGCAGGCGCATGCGCTGGATGCAATGGTCAAAGAGGTCCTGGCGCGTGAAGCACAGGTGTCGTTCAGGGTCCAGACTTGGCGTCATCAGCAGGGGCTGGACGTCAAACCAACGCAGAGCACCGTGAATCAGTTCTCCCTTCTGCTGCAGGCGGAGATGACCACTATTTCGTTGGCATCAAATACTGGGTCAAAGGAGAACAATGAAGCAAAGGTGAAGCAGCCGCATCGAGGTGTTGGGAATGCTCAAGTCTGGAGAGAAAAAGCGCTTGTCCGACCGTAGTGGGCAAAAGTGACAAGGGAAGTAGTGAAGCTAAGAAGGACGGCCCCAAGGCAAGTCCAAGGGCAACGGCAAGGCTGACGGTGCTGCGAGGCCTAAGTCACCAGAGACACCTGCTGCGCAAGGTGGGGGGAGTGATGGTGCAGTGGAAGCGTCTGAAAAAGCTGGCAATGGAGGTG